CTGTAATTTCCATGACAACGTATTGTATTTCTTGTCTTTAATTAATTACAAACAAAGGGTTTCCACAATAAAACATTAATTCTTTATTACATAGGAACTAATAGCAAAGCAATAGATATGTAGTCTGGTTTCTAGGCTTTTGAGGACTTTTTTCAGAAGTACATGACATGAAGATAGATCTCAAATGTAATAAAGCCGACCAGATGCACTTTAGACAATATTAATTATTATTTGTGTAAGCACAACATGCACTGTTGACCAACAGCTGAAGTTATGAAAGCGATTGGGCCTCATTTATAAAACAAAAGCAGAACGAATTTCTTCCTAAAAATGTCTGTAAAAACAAGGTTTTACAAGTTATTTACACTTGTAAATGCGTTCTGCTCATGTTTCAAGACTGATGCCCAATGTTCAATACTGTTAAATGAAATGAGCTTTTATGCATTAGTGATCACATTATTAGATTAGTAACTTCAAATGATACAAGTATATCTATGATTAGTACATTCAATGTTTATATAATTGCACAATGTTTCGAATAGGAGTGCACGGGTGAATGGGGCGCACAACACAATGGTTAACTGGGTTCCTGTGCATGCTCAAGACGAATGCCCATCACACAAATCTGCCGTAAGTTTAACCCAGTTGACCCTGTAAGCCATTGGAAATGACCTACACTTTGCTTATATTTGCTTACAAACAATCGTGCAATATGCACAAAATTTTTTGGAGTTATCGGTGAATGCATTTATAATTAGGCACAATGTAATCAAGCTAGTGAAAAACCAATCATGCCTGACTGTTCCTACAACTCTAGAGCTCCAAAAATTCCCTTTCTGTTCCCTTCCGGTCCTGAAGAATTAGGCAATATTCCAACACGCCACCTAACGCATCAAAACGATACCACATTACATGAACAAAAACAAGGCTGTGGTTGTTTATTCATGAAATTTGAACAAAATAAAAGTGTTAAGTGTATGTGAAATGATTTGAGTATTGTCCTATTCAATAAAATCGGTGTGTTTTATGTTTCATTAAAGGGGTCATCAGATGCCCATTTTCCACAAGTTTATATGATT